TTCCAAGAATGCAGATATATGAAGGTTCTTCTGTTTACCCTAGTGCCATAGCCAATAAGCTCATTGATGTAGTGGATAGACAGCATACAGCTGCTCCACCAACCAGTAGCACTTGTCTCTAGTTCAGCAGTGATGGAAGAGTTTCATATATATGTTTGTGTTTCTATGGGAGTGAACAGCTTCAATAATTGGGTTATCATTCATACATAATTTTGAATAGCACTTATAAGGAGTTGGTGATGCTTTTTTATTTTTATCGTTAGCACTGATATAGATGCAGTGGATGTGGTTTTATTTCTAACAATTTGCTTACACATTAACGGTTATATCAAGTAGGTGTTTGCTATTATGGGTAGAAATTACTTTGCGTGAGAAATTAAGAGAAAGAAATAAATCACAAAATAAAGAGACAGGCTTGTGATTAGGGGTGATAAGGGTTTGGTTCAGATCGGATTTAGTTTGATTTTTTCGGATATTATAATATTATAACTTTGACGGGACGATAACTGATTTTGACTTTGACCGTTTCACTCTACTTGCATGTGTGAGTTTCAATCACTTTTGAAGTTGGTTAACAATGAAAAGAACCATTACAAGCTGTTGGTGGAGTTCAAACAGATAAGTCTTTTTTTTTTTTTGCCCAAACATCTTGAGTACAAGGTTATGGGGTTCCCAAGCTTCGTTATTAATTTGTCATATGTTGGTCAATTATTGTCTTGACATAAGTCCATCTCTACAGAAGGAAGCAATGAAGGGTAATGCAGAGAGGGAAAAAGATTTTCTCAAAGCTAAATTGTTTCTCCAAATTTCTTTGAGATTAATGGGTGAGTGCATTCTACTTTTGTTTGAAGTAGATGGTCTCACAATTTCATTTTGAAGCTAAATCAGCTTAGTTGTGGTGTTGGTATAGACATGATTTACAATGTTTCTTGTTTTGTGCTTTATTGCATTTTTCCTCTCCATGTTCGTTGACCCATTGCGATTCCCCTCGTAAAATGAGATAATTTGGTTTTTCAACTGTTTGATATGTATTCTTGTGCTTTTCCAATATGCTACTTCACATCTAAAGGGTTTCATTGTGCTGATTGAGTATATTCTCACTGTTCATTTTACATTTACTTATAGTGGATATTGTGTCTGGATAGGCCAGGTTATTTATCACAAAATGGTTCCTTTCTCCATTTGTTCCCAGTAAACTGGTCTTTAAATAGTCTTTGGGCTGGAAGTCAGCATGATGGAAAAAGTTCTGGTCCATTGAAAAGGTTGTAACAAGTTAAATATGTCATTGCAGCTTCATCCTTATACGAATAGGTTTAGTTAGGGTAAATCCATTTTGTTTTTGGAATAAGCCAGAGAAATATGCAAAAATGCTTTAGTTTGATATCACTGGAATGACATTTTAGATCTAAAGCATAGTGTCGTCACAACTTAAAGTAGGTTTTTATATTATGGTTATCTAAGCTTTGTAGTAAATTCAGAATATCCTTCCTTCTACCTAAACAATAACTTGATCAAAGTAATTCTCAACTAAAATTAAAGGATCTCTGCTGGTTAGAATAGACTTAATTTGGCCATCAACTATTGTGTTCATGTCGTGGAATTCAGTGTTCAATGCAACGGGCCATTTATCCAAATTAGTTCGGCTGGCAACATTAATCCTTTTCTCCGTTGTCCTACATATGATCTAATCTCTGAAGATGTTTAGAGGTCTTTCTCTACTATGTTTATTTGTGTTGTTTGGCGATTTTTGCAGTTTCTTCCTATATTTTGTTGAATCAAATAATTTTGCTATGCAGATTCATGTATACGATTATGTTGGGTAGGAACTACCTTTTGAAGTATTTTTCTAACTAGTATAAATCAGTAGGAATCATTTCCTAAATTACTATAGACTTACCAATTGTGATTCTTGAGCATTTTGTTTTCACCATTCCTGCCCATAGCTTTTGTATCCAGTAGTCAATACATGCCAGTTAAGATCCTTGGGTTTACTGTGTTACGCGACGTCTTCATTTCTTTTTTTATTCTTCTATTCTTTTCTTGAGTTGGCGAAGCCTTTGTTTTGTTTCTTCATGACACATTAGAAACCCATCCCTTGGCATGAACTATATGAAAAGCCCATTTATGAACTTGGCCTTAGTTTGGATATGAACTTTGATGGATTTAGATTTCCTTGTGACTGTTTTGGTTCTGTAATGCAGCTTATATAGAGTTGTAATCATCTTTTTGTTTTTTTCCCTCTAGTTATCTCAGTCTGAAAATTTCGTCTTCTTATTTCCTGAGTGACTGTGCCTATAATGTAGGTAGTCTTTATTAAATCTTTTGGTTAGTATAAAAAAGTGTAACAATAAGTACAAAATATGTTTGTTGATAGTTTGATCACTTGAATGTTAGCTGATATTTCTTGATTCATCAATGTTTTATCACATGATTTGAGTAGCTTGATAATTACCCATTGCTTATCTGATGTCAATGTCACTTCTCTCTGCAACATTCCCCTGATTGTGCTGAGCATTTGATTCTTCTTATTCCTTTGGTACATATGAAGAGTCCAAGTTTGGAAGAGGAGAATCGAGCCTTGGACCTGAACCCTATTAAAGGGAGTTAAGTCACAAATAGACTTGCTGTGATTGTCTATGAGAAAAGCCATCTTTCAAAATCTTCTGCCTTGTCTAGTCCTTTCATCAATAGCTGTAGGCTTGGTTTTGCTGTGAAAATTAGTGGCTGGCTTTGTTGTGAAAATTAGTGGCTGAAATTAGTACGGTAGCACCATATAATTTTTGTGCCTGCATAGGTAGTCTTTTATATAAAACAATATTCGCTTATGAAGAGAAATTCTGTAGGTAGCAATCTTTTATTGGCTAATTTTGTCCTCCTACAAGTATGATGGCATCATTAATGCCCGTTTAAGTGACGACTTGGTATGTTCAGGTTGGTGGGAATTGTTAATGGACTAGGCACCACTTTTAAATTGTGTTATATCAAGTGTGGCGCCATAGCTCTGGTAATAAGCAGCTTATGAAGGACGACTTACCTCCTTGGAGTATATAAGAATTGAAAATACCTAGAACGAAATTCGAAACACTATATGTTTGAGAAAATTTTCAAATCCCGAACTTTTTGTACTACAAAGGCTGTGAATATGTATTTAGGATCTCTCTCTCTCCCGGATTATGCGGTTCTATCATGTGTTACTTGTACATAATTTGAAGGGGTAGTGTGTTTAAATTCTTTACTTCTAAATAACTTTCTATGAAATAATCAATTATTAACAATGTTGCATTCAATCTTTCCACCATTTTTGGAGAAGTGTGATTAACAACTCAATTTCAATAGGCTGATGGATCCCGTAGCATTTAGTTGTCGATAAACTTGAATCTAAATGTAAAGTATCATCCTCATCAATCATCATTGGAGAGACTATACAGAGCTGTCTGTGTAGACCAACTTTTTCATGCTATGCTAATCAGTATAGCCGCTCATATTCCATTGACTACTGATTGTGACATGTCCTTCCTGGAGCAATCTTTGCTCCTTGGCCTAAATCTTGGGTTCTAGGGCCGAGTTGTGACAACTGGAGTTACTTTTTGTTTCTTAGAATCTTATCATGAGTTGTAGTTCCATGGTTATCACTGATCGATACTGCAGTGGACAGTCTAGCAATAATGAAATGTTTGATTGCAGTATTTTGATTGTAAATGATTTTTCCCCTTTAAACTAGATTTTGAAGCAGCATGTGGGACTGTCACTAGAAAAGCAATACCAGGGTCAGCTATGTCTTTATGCAAGATAACTATATTCTAAGGTAAGCTTATTTGGTATCTCTCTGGTTTGAAAGTTTAGAAATTATACTGTGAGCCATATAGTAGTTGACTCACAAAGTCACCGATTTCTGGCATAATGGAAACCATTTTTTTTGGATAAATAACGAATCTTATTTATCCAAAGCAAGCACGGGAAATCCTGCTAGAAGAAACAACAATGATGGAATCCTTAATACATCTTAAGCTATAATATTCTTTGGACTAATTTCTCTACTATTTCTTTCCTTTCTTTTTTTTTTTTTTTGGGACAGGAATTTGAATTTCACTATATTTTGAATGGCAGTATAGCATCAAGTGCAGTGTGAATGACTTGAGTCTTTCTTTTTATCTATCAGATCCCATCACATGCATACCCTCTGTAGTCAGTCCCTTTTCTTTCGAATATTCTCGGCCAAAGGACCTTAGTGTTCCGTGGGAAACTGGAGATCAGCTTTATTAAGTGGTCACTGTTGTGTTCGAAGTGTATCTGGTATTTTTGAGTGGTTTCAGAAATGGAGGCATATATTCTGAACCATTGCATTTTGAAATCATGGGGGTGGCCATGTTTGTCACTCAACTTTTCACTTAGAAAATATGTAGTACAGTAATTTAATAGAGAATCAACTGTGACAACCATTGCCACATACTGATGCCAGAATCTCCTAAAGAGCAAAATATTCTCCTTTTTAACCCACTTTATCCTCAGATCTTTTCCTTTTTTGCTGATGTGAAATAAATAAATTAGTTCAATGGAATCTGAAAGATCCATTAGACTCGTAATGCTCAATTGATCGTAAGGATAAAGAAGTCATAATAATCTAGTTTTTCATAAGAGTGAAAGCCATTCATGCAGAGTTTGTCATAATTTAATAGAAATAAAGATCAAATAAATTAGTTTTGAGGAGATCTTTGTTAGTGTAGAATATTTCATGAGATGCTTTATGTGCAGGTTCTATTGAAGAAGAGGAGAAAGCATGAATGATTAGGTAAGAAAAATATGGAGACAATCAGCTGCTTCAATTAAGTGGCTAATAATTCTGCAATTTGAAATTAGTCAATATATCTCCTCCAAAAAAAAAAAAAAAAAGATGGAAAAGAATAGAAAAAGAAATCTGCTATATATATGTCAAGCTAGAAGCCAAGTGTCAATCTAGTTTCTAATTTATTATAAAATATCAAGCATATTCTTCATGCCTTGTATTTGATTGTACCCTAAGAAAAAGGGTATTTTCAAAATCTTGACTTATTATCCGCTTTGTATATTGTGCTAATTCTAGGTCTTGCTTCACTTAGACACCTTTTCCCTTGATTGCTGACTGTAAGGATTTATTAGAGCTTGTTAATTGACTAATACAAAAAAGAAATTTATCTTTCGCAAGATTGCCATCCTCAAAATGCTATGGAACTTGGCATAAAAGATCAAAAGGACAGGGAAGAACGCAACAGATTATAGGACCTTAGCTCGAGAGAAGAAAGGCTGCAGGCCTCTGGTGGTTTAGCCTCAATTCAGTCTTCACAACCTAGCTTCTCGGCCAATGGCTTTCTGCCATGATTGATACTCGTTGACGCTGAATCAGAAGCGAAGTATTGTCCATGTGCATTCGTCAAAGCACAGTTTGGTATGGTATGGCATTGGCACCAATTGCAACAAGTTAGATACTTCAGCAGGTGGTCAATGTTTCTATGTTTGTTGCTGTGACCATGTTCAATTTAGTATTTTACTTGAATTTTCTTCAAAGAAAATTAGAAATTGTTAATATGATCTAAATCCGGTGTTGCCTTCATTTTGTATTGCATTTTGTCTTAGCAATTGGACTTTGTAGAGAAAATAATTAGCTGGTATCTGGCAAATTCAGTATTTACATACATCCCGTTTATGGCACTGATTTTTGTCCATTGCCTCTTACAACTCTAGTCAATAATTAACATATGATATGGTTGACCTTTTTGGTTGAAAAAAAAAATTCAACTAGCCTTAAAGCCTCCTTCCTCATATAAGGCTAAAACATTTGCCTCATGCTGTAAATTATTATTATTATTTTCTTTAGATAAGATGGATGCTATGATGAGTAAGCTATTGCCTTTTGAAATATTCTTTGGCCAGGAGCAAGAATTGCCAATGGGTCGTAAGTGGATTTTCTCTGGACAAAAACTTCCCATTGTGGGCCAAAATGAGATTGCCATTCTAATTGTGTAGAATAGTAGGGCAGGTACTGCTTTGCCCCAAGACGAGCCATCTCACAGAATTCTAAAATTCTTTTGTTCTGAATTAAGATGTGGTCTAAGCCATCACTTCCTGTTGAAGAAGGTACTGCGGAAGAAAGGAATGCCACTAAATAGAAAACATCTTCTTCAGGTATAACAACAGAAGTTCTATTGTCCCACCTGTAATCAAGATTAAAACTCGATCAATCATAGGAACTTGTGAATATTAAGAGATGTGAATTACTCTTTCTTTTCTTTTTTTTTTTTTGAAAATTTTACTTTGATTTGTTAACCGGGTAGATGAGGATGGGGCCATTGCTTGTATCTTTAAGGATATTGCCAAAGACTTGTTGAGCAAAACTGTCTATTGTACTTCTGGGTATGAGAAGATTAAGCCATGGATGCGGAACTTCCCACAAGCCTTTTGAACGGAGTTTGATCTCGGAAATGTGAACCCTGTCTAAAAACTCAATGTATGGAACTTCCGATAGAAAAAGTGTTGACGGAATATGGTTCAACTGAGATAAGGAACTCTCAATTTCCTGCATAGAAAAATGGAGATATAAGTGTCATTTGATCATCTATTAATAATTTAATAGTTAGTAAACTTAGAAAGCCAACTGATGGTTGGAATTGTGCCTCACCTGATTTACTAATGCCATTTCTTCAGGATTGAAGTACTTTGCTAATTCAAGACAGAAGAGAGTTCTTCCATCTGACTTGAATTGACTGGCTTGTACGGGGTCTTGTGGATTGAAGGATGATCTCCAGTTATTTAGGAGACCAGTCCTGTTTATTATCACAAATCCTTCAATATAATCAAATGTGCTTTCTCCAGATATTAACTTCTCTTGGTCCGTGGCAAATGTGGCAAAATCTGTGTACAGCACTCTAATCCATTTGACCTGCTCAAGAAGGAGAATTGTCATAACTCATAACAAGTGTGCTTTCAAGTTTCAACTAAGACATTTTCGAAGTTGTCTTCTAGTTTAATGATTGCCATTTTTACCATTTCAGGTGCTGGTTCCAGCGATATTCTTGCCCGTGTTATGATGCCAAACTGACCGAGTCCTCCAAGAACGCTGTAAAAGAGATCACTGTTCTGCTTCTCTGAGCAATTTACCACTTCTCCTTTACCTGCATTCAAGTACAGTTCATCTTCAGTTGGCATGTATACTGTTATGCAACTTCTTTGATTTCCTCTATAAACTAATTGATAACCAATTATCTAAGCATGTTTTGTGAGACATCATAAGGGTGGTTTTACAACATGCATTACGGAAGAAGGTACCAACCTAAAATGAATTTTTAAATTAAACAAGACAAATGTCAAGATAATTTGCCCATGTGTCACTCTATGTATATCATAGATGCAACTCTCATTGATGCTGAATTTTGTCAGCATATGATTGTCCTTGAATTTGCTTTAACAAACCTGTAACAACTTCCAGTTGGTGAACATTACTGATCTGCGGTCCATGCCGAAATGCCTGTCCACTGATCCCAGCATTGGAAAGAGTACCGCCAACTGTTAAATGTAGGTAGTCTGTCCAAGATTTTGGTGCTAACCCATATTTCAGGCTTTCATGTAGGATATCTATCCATAACTCACCACCAGAGACATCCACATAGGGGAAGCTTCCAGTGTATACCTGCATTTTAGGGCCTTGGAGTGATTCCATGTTGATTACAACTCCTCGGTGGGATTGTGCCTGGCCCTGGAGTGAGTGGCCATGGCCTCTAGCTGCAACTGTGAGTTCTGAACGAGGACCCATCCGCCAAATATGCTTCACTGTGGTGGCAATATCAGAAACTGACTTGGGGTGTAGCACTGCCAAAGGAAGGAAACTGTATCTATTGCCAAAATCTTTTGCTGCATGGTGAACTTGTTCAAAATGGAAATGACCATCAATGGAAAGTGATTTTAGCGAAGAAGGAATGCTGGGAAAGCAGAGGTTGATTTCAATGGTTAGACAGCTCAGGAATAATATAATGAAGCTTCTTAAGAAAAGCATGTTTTTTTGTCTGGGAAAGCTAACAGGTGTATATCTCATATCTTTCTTCTTTCTTTCCTCGTTTATTTTTGAGGGAATCGAAGGCGAGAGGCTTTGAGTCTCCTATTCGTTGTTTCTATGTGACTTGGGAGAAAAAGCAAAACCAAAGCAATGGATAGAAGAGCCAAGGAAGTGAAGAATTGAGGGGAGAATTTAAAGGGGAAGATTTGGGTGGCTGAGTCAACCTATCTTCAGTTGTTAGCATCCGTATGAAGACTGCCTTCTTTGGTGGGAGAGTTCTAGGTTTTCTTTCAGTTCTCCTTTTTGGGCTCTTTTTTTTATAAGCGAAGCCATCACACATAGGCCAAGTTGAAGAGAAGAAAAGATTTTCTCAAAATCTTTGCACTTTTTCCGATAGTTGCAAGCATAAGCTCGATGTCACGCTCTCCGAAATCAAAATGTAATACAACGATATTATCTTGAAGTAAAATTTTAAAATAATACAAAATTTTTTTTTTAATCATTCTAAAATTTTTCAATAAATTAATATAATTTGTCAAGTAAAATTTATATATTTAATCCAACTAATGATACATATTTATATATCCAAATATAAATCATATAAAATATAAAACCATTCATAAGATCTCATTGGCTAATATTGTCTTCGATGATTAAACAATCTTTTTCATTTGATCTTTTAGCTTTTTATAAAGCTAAACAAACTTATCACTTACTCATTTATAAAGAAAAAATAAAAGGAGAATGAGCAAACTATAGCTTAGCAAGTATAGGCTCACACACATCATCGGATCAAATATCATTTTCATACATATTGTATAGATCATTCAAAACATTCGTTAAATCATAATGTCAAAATATTTTCAAAATCATTATTATGCCATATTTCATAAATTATAAATCAATATCAAAACATGTCAATTCATCAATTATAAATCATAAATCATGATCAAATACATATTTCATATAAATCATGGATTAATCTTTAAAATCATCATAAATCATCATCATCATCATAAATAATTATTATCATTAATTTATCGTTAGCTACGATCATTGTTATAACTAGTGATATTGGTTGTATCGATAATTTTATCCTCATGTTCATTCAATAATTTTCAATAAATCTTAAAAACATAAAATAAACAAAGTCCAATAATTTATCCAAATAGATCATGAAAATTAAAGAAAAATTTTATAATTTTTCTCGATTTTTCTCTTAAAATTTCAACTCCAAATAATAGCAACTAACATGATAGTTTTCTTAAATAAAAAGAGGACAGATATTCACAATTAGAAAATTAACTCGATTGTAGTATTCGATTATAAATCATGTACTTGATTTTTTATGCTCTCTAATCCTAAGAAAAATGAGGAAGAAGAACTCACATTTTCTATTCTATTTCATAATAACTAAATTTTTCTCTGATAAAATACTTAGCTATTTTTTTTTAGTAAATAACCTCTTAATTAACTTAATGGATTTTAATAATAATTTAACCCAATTATCATTTGAGTTGGGGTATTACGTTCACTCACTTTTTTTGCCAAAGACAAACATGTTCCATAAAAAATTTGAGATTAACCCTATGTTTAAGTTAAGGGTGCCTTTTTTATTTTTTTTTCCCTTTTTAGAATAAGAAGCAATGACTTTGCTTGGAAGTTGAAGGCCTAATGCTTTGCCTCTTATGTCAGGGTATCCCTATTCCATGCCCCCAATCTTACTTCCATGAATGATGGATGCTCTACCTGAATCCGTCAGTATCGGAATGTAGAATTGAATGAGAGGGATTGCCAGGGCAGGCCTTGATTCAATTGAGAGAGATGGCCAAGTGGGGTAGAAGGGGTCCCTCGGACACGTGATATTCAAATGCTTATGTGCTTTATGGTTAAAGGTCTATGATTGGCCAGGTTGGGACCCGTTGGGACCGGCGTGGAGAGCTATGCAATTGCAAAGAATGAACAAGGGGACGGAGGATGACAGCTTAGAAAGGCCCAATCTTTTCTTTTGGCAATCCCGGCTGTTAATTGTTTTTAACTTTCAAGTGGATAAGTTTAAATGATTCTCTTGTTTGTATGATTTAGAATGCGATTAGATTACAGCAGCAGCGGAATTATTGTTTCTTCCCTCTTTTTCTGTAGACAAGTTGTGTATATATGGACAACAGTGGGGGATTCGCATCAGTGTCGGGTAAGAGTTTTCTGTTGCGGATATATTATTGGAAAGTAAAAGTGAAATTCATCTGTCTTTGACCAGATATCGCCTGTGTGTGATTATTTATAGAACGATGGATTTTTAATTTTAATGATTATTCAAAATTTGCCGACTTGAAATAAAAAATTTTCTCAATTCTCGATTCATTTCAGGAATACAACCCTTTCCCCAGACCCCCCTTTCCCCTAGCCCAATGAAACAGAAGCCATAAGGACTATAGGAGTTATTCTAATGATGAAAGCAGCAGCTAGATATTGGGCAGCAGATATTCTGAATCTGAATTATGGACAGGATGATCCCTACTCCCTTAGATTCTCTCTCTCCCTCTCCCTCCCAATTCCCTACTATAGAAGATTCTATATATCTATCAATCACATTCCTCGCTATTTTGTCTCTTTCCTAGACTTAGGGTACCAGCTGACAGAGCAACGGATACTGTAATAGACTACTTTAATTAGGAAAATGCCAATATTTGCACCTTACCTACTTGGATAGAAAATCTACATATTCATTGCAATTGTTTCAACACATAATTATATACACTTGTTTAATCAAACTCGCTAATTGTAAATGAGCTTCTTTTTCCTCCTTAATTTAATTAATGTGCAAGTAGTTTTCCGGAACCAAGCGAGAAAATTTCAGTTAAAGTGTCTGTGTATTATTTCTTAAGTTCTTGATGAGTTGCGTAGAAAAACCAATTAAATAATTCAACTAATAAAAATTATTTTATATACCCTAATCTAGATTTTTTGCACTCAATTGCCACGTTCAAAGTTAATTCGAAATTAATTTAGTTCAAATATTTCACTTATCTTTTATTTTAAAAAGTGATTTCTATTAAGATTGAGTTGTGATCTCAAATATTTGTAAATCTTTCTTTTTTTATTTCGCTTAAGCTTTGACCTCATTTGTACAAAAAAAAATTAATTAGTAATTAGTCATCTAATGTGAGATGTTCTCTAAGGAAAATCTTCCATATTGTGGATCATCCTTTCCATTACTAGAAGTTGCAGTAGGTTAAGAAAACTAAGAATCTTACATAGGTAAAAAAAACAAATTGAAGTGAAAATGACCTAAACAACATGCCAAAAAAAAAAAAAGGCCTAAACAACAAAAGTGATATGATTGAACAAGGTTACAACCCACAAACTTTCTCCTTTTTCGACAAATCACATGCTTAAAAGATAAAGCCATGAATCCAATAGCTGCACTAATTAGGGGTTTAGGACTCTGGACTTTTTAATAATTCATTAATAATATTGTACTATATAACAAACAAAGATTATGAAATTTTGAATAGATATTGCACTCACTTATCCTCTAGTTTAATTACTATATATAGGGTATGGTGTGAAAGTGAGAAAGTGTGAAGTAGATACAAGTTCCCTCTAATTAATCTCTGATATATAATATATTATATATATGTGGGGAAAAACTGAATCTTGAATTATATATAAATATATGCCCATGTTTTCTAGAAGAACCGACCACTAATACATTAAGAAATCAATACTTAGTTATCAGTAACATTAGCTTAGGGTTTTCTAGGTTAATATAATTAATGATTTTGTGGGAGAAGATGAGATGACAAGAGAAGAGAAGAGAATCAATAAATGCCCCATTAGACTTACGTTGGGGCCTCACTTGTCCGTCGCTACATTTGCGGAATGCAAAGCTTCTTTAATGGTCAAACAATATAGAACTTTAATCGATAATCATGGGGTTGGTAGCATTTGTCATCAAAGAGATCAACGGGGCGGCGAGGGTGGCTCCCATCCCATTCCCACCCTCATGTTATGTATTATCATGAATCAGAACCTTGACACGCGTTATTGCCACGTCAGTGTCCTCTTGAGCATTCCATTGGCTCATCCGAGATCGACGACCTACAAATGACGTTTCGACAAATGGGGGTGGAGGTGCCACTAGGCCGGACGCGACGGGTTAGATTGCCACGCATGCAGCACTTGTCGTCGCCTTCCTCATCATCATATGCCTTTGAGACTAAAGAATGTGGTTAGAGGTGTTGGTAGGGCACAAATTCGATTTAGGATGCTCAAACCCTATGTGATTAATAAATAATAATTATGCTTATCATGTTTCCTATCCCACTTTTTATTCCTCTTCAATCAATGTCTCCTTGTCTTTTATTCTCACTCCTCGTAAGACTGAGGTAATTGAAATCTAAAGCTTGAAATCTCTTTGTTATATTCATGGTAATAGCTACTTGTCGTCATTATCTATTGTTATAATATATAAATTAGTGACTTATCATTAGATATTGATTTAAAAAGTCATTACTAATTTTTTTTATTTAGATGTGATTGATCACCTAATTGAATTTGTCATGTTTTTAAAGAAAAATCATAAACTTGACTTAGATATTTTTAAAAACGTAAATTCACGAAATTAGAATTGAATCCTAAAGTATGATTACATGTGAAGAAGGTTATAACATCTTCACAATGCCCATCAAAAGATGGTAATAGCTTGATTTAATGTTATTCATTAAGCTTTAAAAAAAATTTACCAAATAATCAATTATTAAAAATTATTCTTAATTGATTTCAATACTTTTCACAAAAAATTAAAAAAATTCACTCACTTTAAAAGTATATAAGAAAATTACTGCTTCTCTTGTAAGGACTCCTTTGTTGGATTATTTAACAAAAAAAATTTCAAGAAAAAAAATTAATACTTCAACTTTTTCCTAAGATTTCTTTTCTTTTCTTATTTAAAAAAAATAAAAAAATTAATGCCTTTATTTAAGAAAAAATTGATACTTTCAACTTTTCCTTAAAAATGTTTCTTTTGAAATATATTTTTGAAAAAAAATTTTTTCTAAGGAAAATTGATACTTTCTCCTTAAAACCCCATTTTTTTTTATTTAAGAAAAATTAATACTTTAAACTTTTCTTTAAAAATATTTTTTTTTATTTAAAAAAATTGATACTTTCAACTTTTTCTTAAAATCTTTTTTTTATTTAAGGAAAACTAATACTTTTAACTTTTCCTTAAAAATATTTTTTCTGAAATACATTTTTTGAAAAATTTTTATATTCTAAGTAAAATTGATACTTTCAACTTTTCCTCAAACATACATTTTTTTTAATTTTTTATTTCTAAGGAATTTTTATATTTTCATTTTTTCCTCAAA